ACAATATTATTATTTTTTTTTAATAAAGTTAAAACCTTTTGAAAGGAAAGGCAGAGCTAGAGTACACAAAGGTACTTAAATGAGATTATAATTTGAATTCAGGCTATACAGCAGACATCCCACAGTCACTGAGGAAAGAATTAAGGTGAGCTTCAGTGGTCATTGAATAGGTTTTTCCAGTGTCAGTCCTCCTAGCTATAATTTTACCATCTCGCACAAAACAGTGTTTAATTGTCGGGGAATTTTTGCAGAAGCCTCGCAGTTTAAAAAAAGAGATTTTGCCTGCACCTGGTCAGACATTCATTCACATAAACAGTGGATTTACTAGCGACTGCTGAAGAGATAAGATCAGACTTGCGGGAGCAGCTATCTAGTTTTAAACGAATTCTCCTGTTATTAGTACCAGATGATTTGGTACCCACTCTATAAGCTGCTTTGATGTCATTTTTTTTGGATCGAATACCTTAACTTATCCTGCAATACCTTGATCACGATGGCAGCACAGTCTTCTCCATCAGTTTCTTGGGGAAAATCACGTGAAGAGATAATTACAGACTCAAGTAGTTTATGTTGGTCTGTCTCGTCTTGGGTAACAGTGTGTTGTTGTTGTAGGTTGTTCAGATGGTTCTCAAACTGTTGCAATATTTCTTCCTGTTTTTTAGTGGTTTCATCTATAATAATAATAATTATAATAATAATAATAATAATAATAATTTATATTTAGGTAAGGTACATACATAAAGAGATTTTACAAAGTTTGTTGGGTTAATAGATAGAGCTAGTACATACAATGCCTAAAGCCACTATTACGCAAAGCGTTTCGGGCAGGAAAAACATTAATGACTAAAGCTTAAAACTAATGGGTTAAAAAGAATAAAATGTGTTGAGAACAAATAAAAATAGAGGTAAAAGAGGGGGAACATGGTTGAAAAAGCAGCACAAATACAATTACAAATTATTACAGAAAATTACATTCAAACAGCGTTGTTTTGAAAAAAAAAAACATACATGGGTTGACAACAGAGGGGTAAGGTAGGTTACAGGGAATTTATTAGGTAGTGCTTCGTTTTTATCTTAAACTGGTTGAGAGAGGTACAGTCTTTAACATGATTGGGAAGATCATTCCACATTCTGGGTCCCTTGATTTGAAGAGCATTTCTAGTATGATTAAGTCGTACTCTAGGAATATCAAAACTATTTATTTCTGGTGTGGTGCTCATGGGTTCTGTTACAACCTTCAATGAATCTTTTGAGGTCAGGATTGGCATTACAGTTCAGCGTTTTATATATGTATAATACACATGAGAGAATGTGCAATGACTTAATATCTAACATATTCAGAGATTTGAGTAGGGGTACCGAGTGATGTCTGGGGCTACAGTTGGATATTGTCCTAATAGCAGCTTTGTGTTGAGTAATTAGAGGACGTAAATGATTTTGGGTAGTAGAACCCCAAGCACAAATGCCATAGTTGAGATATGGATAGATGAGGGAGTAACAGAGAGTCACCAGGGCAGGGCGGGGTACATAATATCTGATCTTAGAAAGAATGCCAACAGTTTTTGAAACGTTTTTTTATATATTTAGAATGTGTCCCTGGAAATTCAGCTTTTGGTCGATGAGAACGCCAAGGAATTTGCCATCTAGTTTGTTACAAATTTGGGTATTGTTTATTTTGAGATTTATATGATTAGAGGATTTATTGCCAAACAGAATATAAAACGTTTTGTCAATGTTAAGGGTGAGTTTGTTGGCAGTTAGCCAAAGATGGACTTTCTCTAGCTCAGTATTTACTGTGGCATTTAGAGCAAGGGGGTCAGGACTGGAGTAAATGAAGGTTGTGTCGTCAGCAAATAGAATTGGTTTGAGGTGTTGGGAGGCATTTGGAAGGTCATTAATGTAGATGAGAAAGAGGAGAGGGCCAAGTATGCTGCCCTGAGGAACACCAATGTTGATGGGTAGGGTGGGAGAAATTGAATTATTCACAGAAACATACTGGAGCCTGTCAGTAAGATAAGATTTGAGGTATTGCAGGGAGTGTCCTCTGACTCCATAATGATGTAATTTAAGAAGAAGGTTCTGGTGGTTGGCAGTGTCAAAAGCCTTACGCAGGTCCACAAATAACCCAACAGGGAACTCCTTTTTATCAAGAGCTGCGTGAATCAAGTTAATCATACTAATAAGTGAACTCAATAGCAGAATCAGAGGCTGAAAGCTGACCAACGTTATTGGACAGGAGTGTTGGTTTGTTATTTAAAATCTTCTTTGATCCCAATAAATTGTGCTCCAAGTTTTTTAATGTTGCTCTTTATTTGGGTAAATTTATCTGCATTAATCATCATTATCATTAATTTATCTGGATTAAAGTTAGTAACTGTGTTCTTGAGGAGGTTTAATTCCTGTTCGAGGTTGACTACCTAACCTTCTTCGCCGTTCTTGAGATAGGGTGTGACTCTCAAGTTGTTCCGCGATTCGTTTTCTTCGCCTATATAGGGAACGACGTTCCCGTTCCAATCTGCATCTCTTCCTCTTTTTTCTTAGAGGTATGCGGTTTGAACATATTTCTAGTGCTACTGAGCTTATTTTTTTCAGGCACTGGTTCAGGTTTGCATTTTCTAGCTGTTCTTCCCAGTTTATTTCTGTGAAGTCCTGGTTTATTTGCTCCCAGTTTATCTGTTTATTATTGAAGTTGAATTTGCTGAAATCTCCTCCACCGGGAATCTGGACTGATTTTGAAGGTCTACTCCCCATGGTTGTCATAACTTCAGTTAAGTTGTGATCTGAGTAACAGGTATTTGTAATCATTATGTTCCTGATCAATTCATCATTACTAGTGAAAATGAGGTCCAGCGTGTTCTCCTTCCTAGTTGGTTCTACTATTTGCTGGTTTAAGGCAAACCTGTCGCACATCCGTAGCAGGTCATTTGCATGTGCCTGTTCATTTAGGCTACTTCCTGGTATTCTTTCTGATATTACTGTATTAGCCAGGTGCTTCCATTTCAGGTGCCGTAGGTTGAAGTCCCCAAGCAGGATGATGTTCGGAGCTGGATTTGTGAGGTTTTCCAAGCAGTGTTCTATTTTCATTAGTTGGTCTTTAAACTGCTGAGGGTTTGCCTCCGGTGACTTATATACAAGGACAATAACTACATTTAAAATCTCTATTTTGATTATCAGCACTTCCACCATATCATTTGAGGTGATCTATAGATCATTTGAGCCCTATCTATAAATCCATCACTCTTTGTAAAATCTCTTGTATGTATGTACCTTACCTAAATAAACATTTGATTTGATTTTGATTTGATTGAATAGCAGCTTTGTGTTGAGTAATTAGAGGACGTAAATGATTTTGGGTAGTAGAACCCCAAGCACAAATACCATAGTTGAGATATGGATAGATGAAGGAGTAATAGAGAGTCACCAGGGCAGGGCGGGGTACATAATATCTGATCTTAGAAAGAATGCCAACAGTTTTTGAAACGTTTTTTGATATATTTAGAATGTGTCCCTGGAAATTCAGCTTGTGGTCAATGAGAATGCCAGGGAATTTGCTATCTAGTTTGTTACAAATTTGGGTATTGTTTATTTTGAGATTTATTTGATTAGAGGATTTATTGCCAAAGATAATATAGAAAGTTTTGTCAATGTTAAGGGTGAGTTTGTTGGCAGTTAACCAAAGATGGACTTTATTTAGCTCAGTATTTACTGTGGCATTTAGAGCAATGGGGTCAGGACTTGAGTAAATGAAGGTTGTGTCGTAAGCAAATAGAATTGGTTTGAGGTGTTGGGAGGCATTTGGAAGGTCATTAATGTAGATGAGAAAGAGGAGAGGGCCAAGTATGCTGCCCTGAGGAACACCAATGTTGATGGGTAGGGTGGGAGAAATTGAATTATTCACAGAAACATACTGGAGCCTGTCAGTAAGGTAAGATTTGAGGTATTGCAGGGAGTGTCCTCTGACTCCATAATGATGTAATTTAAGAAGAAGGTTTTGGTGGTTGACAGTGTCAAAAGCCTTACGCAGGTCCACAAATAACCCAGCAGGGAACTCATTTTTATCAAGAGCTGCATGAATCGAGTTAAGCATACTAATAAGTGCATCGTTAGTGCTTTTTTTGGGTCTGAAGCCATATTGGCAAGGGCTAAGTATATTGTGTTTGGCTAGATAAGAGTAAAGCTGCTTGTAGATTAGTTTTTCAAAATTTTTTGACAAGTTTGGCAGGATTGATATAGGTCTGTAGTTGTTAACATCTGTGAGATCACCACATTTGTGGACAGGCGTTACTCTCGCTTTTTTTTTAGAATATCTGGAAAGGTTTGGAGTTCAAGTGACTTGTTGAAGGGCAATGCAATAGCCGGGGCTAAAGATCTGGAGGCTTTTTGTAAATTAAAGTTGGTATCTCCTCAAGGGCACCAGACTTGGTTTTAAGGGAAAGGATTATCTCATTGACGTCAGTGGAATTAATAGGCTTTAGGTACAGAGACTGTGGATAGTTACCTGTAAGATAGTCCTTAACGTCAGTACTGGAAGATGGAATATCATTTGCAAGGGATGACTCAATGGAAGAGAAGAACCTATTGAACTCAATAGCAGAATCTGAGGCTTCGTAGCAAACCCACTTACGAAGAAATACACAGAGCTTCCTGAATCTAGGTTTTGGAGTGCATCGGGAGAACTGACATTTTTCCATTTATTAAAAATTACTGGTAGTGTAGTCTGTGAACTATTGGATTTATTTTTAAATTTAATTACATACAATGATGTAATAAGGTACGAGAATATAATATGTTGTAGAGTTGGCCAACTGAGCGTTTTTATGTCACTGCTGTTCTTTTAAGCTCAGTCGAAACTTGTGTGTTCAAACGAAGCTTCATTTTCTATTTAGAATGGGATTAACTATACTGCTGTGTACATATATAACATTTATTTCTAATTAAAATAGCTTTATATTGGTCAGTATATGTAATTTTGTGTTTAAGCAGATTGACGTTGAGTTGCATAAGGTAAAAGAAGCGCAAGGCGGCCAGGAACTGGTTGTTGACAAGAGCGAGGATCCTGCCGCCGCCACCACCAGTCCCCCGACCAGTCCTCACCAGCTGGTAGTAACGGCAGTATACACTCCACCTCTCAACTCAGGTAAGACCAGCTTCGTTTTTCCCGTCCCTTGTTCTCTGTTACTCGTCGAGACTCATTTCATGTTTGTTGGTGGGAGCGTAGCTGTGGTGGGGAGCCCAGAGACCTGTCGCCCTGTGGTGGGGAGCCCAGAGACCTGTCGCCCTGTGGCGGGGAGCCCAGAGACCTGTCGCCCTGTGGTGGGGAGCCCAGAGACCTGTCGCCCTGTGGTGGAGAGCCCAGAGACCTGCCACCCTGTGGTGGGGAGCCCAGAGACCTGTCGTCCTGTGGTGGGGAGCCCAGAGACCTGTCGCCCTGTGGTGGGGAGCCCAGAGACCTGTCGCCCTGTGGTGGAGAGCCCAGAGACCTGTCGCCCTGTGGTGGGGAGCCCAGAGACCTGTCGCCCTGTGGTGGAGAGCCCAGAGACCTGTCGCCCTGTGGTGGGGAGCCCAGAGACCTGCCACCCTGTGGTGGGGAGCCCAGAGACCTGTCGTCCTGTGGTGGGGAGCCCAGAGACCTGTCGTCCTGTGGTGGGGAGCCCAGAGACCTGTCGCCCTGTGGTGGGGAGCCCAGAGACCTGTCGCCCTGTGGTGGAGAGCCCAGAGACCTGTCGCCCTGTGGTGGGGAGCCCAGAGACCTGTCGCCCTGTGGTGGGGAGCCCAGAGACCCGTCGCCCTGTGGTGGGGAGCCCAGAGACCCGTTGCCCTGTGGTGGAGAGCCCAGAGACCTGTCGCCCTGTGGTGGGGAGCCCAGAGACCTGTCGCCCTGTGGCGGGGAGCCCAGAGACCTGTCGCCCTGTGGTGGGGAGCCCAGAGACCTGTCGCCCTGTGGTGGAGAGCCCAGAGACCTGCCACCCTGTGGTGGGGAGCCCAGAGACCTGTCGTCCTGTGGTGGGGAGCCCAGAGACCTGTCGCCCTGTGGTGGGGAGCCCAGAGACCTGTCGCCCTGTGGTGGAGAGCCCAGAGACCTGTCGCCCTGTGGTGGGGAGCCCAGAGACCTGTCGCCCTGTGGTGGAGAGCCCAGAGACCTGTCGCCCTGTGGTGGGGAGCCCAGAGACCTGCCACCCTGTGGTGGGGAGCCCAGAGACCTGTCCACGTCACTGGGGGAGCCCAGAGACCTGTCGTCCTGTGGTGGGGAGCCCAGAGACCTGTCGCCCTGTGGTGGGGAGCCCAGAGACCTGTCGCCCTGTGGTGGAGAGCCCAGAGACCTGTCGCCCTGTGGTGGGGAGCCCAGAGACCTGTCGCCCTGTGGTGGGGAGCCCAGAGACCCGTCGCCCTGTGGTGGGGAGCCCAGAGACCCGTCGCCCTGTGGTGGGGAGCCCAGAGACCTGTCGCCCTGTGGTGGGGAGCCCAGAGACCTGTCGCCCTGTGGTGGGGAGCCCAGAGACCTGTCGCCCTGTGGTGGGGAGCCCAGAGACCTGCCGCCCTGTGGTGGGGAGCCCAGAGACCTGCCGCCCTGTGGTGGGGAGCCCAGAAACCTATCGCCCTGTGGTGGGGAGCCCAGAGACCTGCCGCCCTGTGGTGGGGAGCCCAGAGACCTGCCGCCCTGTGGTGGGGAGCCCAGAGACCTGTTGCCCTGTGGTGGGGAGCCCAGAGACCTGTTGCCCTGTGGTGGGGAGCCCAGAGACCGGCCGCCCTGTGGTGGGGAGCCCTGAGACCTGCCGCCCTGTGGAGGGGAGCCCAGAGACCTGCCGCCCTGTGGTGGGGAGCCCAGAAACCTATCGCCCTGTGGTGGGGAGCCCAGAGACCTGCCGCCCTGTGGTGGGGAGCCCAGAGACCTGCCGCCCTGTGGTGGGGAGCCCAGAGACCTGCCGCCCTGTGGTGGGGAGCCCAGAGACCTGTTGCCCTGTGGTGGGGAGCCCAGAGACCTGTCGTCCTGTGGTGGGGAGCCCAGAGACCTGTCGTCCTGTGGTTAGGAGCCCAGAGACCTGTCGTCCTGTGGTGGGGAGCCCAGAGACCTGTCGTCCTGTGGTGGGGAGCCCAGAGACCTGTCGTCCTGTGGTGGGGAGCCCAGAGACCTGTCGTCCTGTGGTGGGGAGCCCAGAGACCTGTCGTCCTGTGGTGGGGAGCCCAGAGACCTGTCGTCCTGTGGTGGGGAGCCCAGAGACCTGTCGTCCTGTGGTGGGGAGCCCAGAGACCTGTCACCCTGTGGTGGGGAGCCCAGAGACCTGCCGCCCTGAGACCTGCCGCCCTGTGGTGGGGAGCCCAGAGACCTGCCGCCCTGTGGTGGGGAGCCCAGAGACCTGCCGCCCTGTGGTGGGGAGCCCAGAGACCTGTCGCCCTGTGGTGGGGAGCCCAGAGACCTGCCGCCCTGTGGTGGGGAGCCCAGAGACCTGTCGCCCTGTGGTGGGGAGCCCAGAGACCTGCCGCCCTGTGGTGGGGAGCCCAGAGACCTGTTGCCCTGTGGTGGGGAGCCCAGAGACCGGCCGCCCTGTGGTGGGGAGCCCTGAGACCTGCCGCCCTGTGGAGGGGAGCCCAGAGACCTGCCGCCCTATGGTGGGGAGCCCAGAGACCTGCCGCCCTGTGGTGGGGAGCCCAGAGACCTGCTGCCCTATGGTGGGGAGCCCAGAGACCTGCTGCCCTGTGGTGGGGAGCCCAGAGACCTGTTGCCCTATGGCGGGGAGCCCAGAGACCTGCCGCCCTGTGGTGGGGAGCCCAGAGACCTGCCGCCCTGTGGTGGGGAGCCCAGAGACCTGCTGCCCTATGGTGGGGAGCCCAGAGACCTGCCGCCCTGTGGTGGGGAGCCCAGAGACCTGCCGCCCTGTGGTGGGGAGCCCAAAGACCTGCTGCCCTGTCGTGGGGAGCCCAGAGACCTGTTGTCCTATGGTGGGGAGCCCAGAGACCTGCCGCCCTGTGGTGGGGAGCCCAGAGACCTGTTGCCCTATGGTGGGGAGCCCAGAGACCTGCCGCCCCACCATCCTCGCTTACACTGTGGTAGATGGCTTGTACTTCATTATATGTTGCCTGCTCTTGTGACAACGGAATGTTGTGGTCCTAATTAAGTTTGTGTGGTCAAATGTCCACACCTTGGTGTTTATTAATATCACCAAACGTTGTAAAAGTAGGCTCCTCAAATTGTCTTGGCGCTATTGCATGATCTATTGTATCATAATCTGCAATGGATAGATTATCATACAACAGCGACATGCCCATTATAGATTATCACACAAGACACCACCTGCACAACCTAGGTGGAATTTAAAAAAGGCCAATTGGAATATATACCAAGAGGAACTTGAAAAATGGTATACAACATACACGCCACCTGAGGATTTGAACATACGCGAGACCAATCTGCAGGAAGCCATTGCAGCTGCTGCAAACAAAGCTATTCCAATCATTATCACGGGAAACACAAAACGAAAGAACTATTGGTTCTATAGTAATGAAGTTAAAGAACAAAACCATAGAGCCAACATCTTCAGAAAACATCTCAAGAGAAACCCCACACCAGAAGGAAGAACTCTGCTAAGAGCAGTGATATCTGAAGCAAGACGAGTTTCTAGAGAAGTAAAGGAGGCAAAATTGTTTGAGTGGTGTCAAGCTTTAAATGAACACAGTAGTCTTGGCAAGATATGGGGTCAGATTAAAACTATATCAGGTCGACCAGCCCGACCACAGGCATGTATTCAACCATTGCAGGAGACTCAGAGAATTGCTCTCCAATTTGCAGAAAGAACAGCTACATATCAGCTTCCTGCAATGGTCCGAAGGCAGCAAGAACAATTAAAACGAGAGGTTGACAGCCATTCATAAGAGCATAGCTATAAATGATGAATGTGACTGTCCCTTCACCAAACAAGAACTAATCAGAGCCGAAAAAGGTGGTAAGGACACTGCACCAGGCGCTGATAACATTACATACTCAATGATCGCACATGCAGGTCCTGCTGGAGAACAAGGAATATTGGACGTCATCAATGCATCTTGGCAGCAAGGCAAGCTACCAACCTTTTGAAAGAATGCAGACATCATACCGATTCCTAAGCCGAAAGAACCTGGCAATTACAGACCCATTTCATTAACATTAGTAAAACTGCAGAACGGATGGTCTTAAATAGGCTACTGTGGAAGACTGGAGACCTTCATAAACACATATTTGGCTTCACTAGAGGAGTGGGTACTGCCAACTGCATAGCAACATTACTAGGAACAGTTAACTCAGGTCCAGCTATAGTGATCTTCCTTGATCTAGAAAAAGCATTCGAACTTGCAAGCCCGCAAGCAATTTTACACACCTTAGTTAAAAAAGGTGTAAAGGGAAATATGCTAGCATGGATTAAGATTACCTAAGTCACAGGTATGCCAGAGTAAAGTTGCAAGGACAAGTGTCGGACTACCACTTGCATGAGAATGGGACTCCACAAGGAGGAGGCCTCAGTCCTAGTCTTTTTAACATCCTTATGGAAAACCTAGTTGCCATGACATTTACAGAACAGGTTAAATTGCTAAGCTATGCTGATGATATAGCATTAGTCATTACAGGTCCTTCACTTCTAAATAAAGCACAAGGTGCATTAGATAAAGTAACATCTGAATGCAGCATTTTAGGGCTAAAAATATCTGCACAGAAGTCTAAGGCAATAAGACTAGGCAGCAACACTCCAGACAGGCACCTACGCATTCAAGACATTAACCTTCAGTGGGTTACATGATATCAATATCTCGGAGTGTGGATAGGTTCTAAAATGACATTCAACAAGCAAATTCAATATCTGAAGGAGAAAGCAAAATCGCGACTAAATATAATGAGAGCAATCACAGGGCCCCGTCTAGGAGCGGAACACAAAGTGTTAAGAATGTTTTACATACATGCCGTTCGTTCCCTAGTTGATTATGCAGCGCCTGCCTTACTCGCTCTTTCTCCTGGTCAGTGGGCAAACGTTGAGGTTATTCAAAACGATGCAATGTGAATCATAACAGGAGCTCCCAGATGGACTAAAATACTGAACCTAAGACTAGAAACCAAGCTAACTCAATTGAAATAAGGGTAAAAGGGATTACTGCGTGCATGCTGACAAAGATATTGATTAGACCTAGAATCAGTTCACTTAAAAGATATAATCATTGGAGCACTAACTCTGGACAGAAGAGCCTCCAATAGCAACAGGTGGACCCATTGTGTGATAAACGCCATCAATACATTCGATATAACAAACACAATCACTGAGAAGGGTGTCGACAAAATACATGCAGACTTTGTTATGCAAGCCCCTTGGGAATCTCCGCCAGCAGACTTTAAGATTATGGTTATTGGAGGAAAAAAGAACCAGACAAATCCTCATCTGCTACGTAACATTGCACAAATGCATATAGAAGCAAACTTGGCATCCAACAGCTTCACTTATTTCACAGATGGATCAGTAGACCAGCAGGAACAAGAAACCTGAGCTGCAGTTAAAGCAGGAAACTGTAGATAGTTGGAGACTCTCAAATGGGTGTTCAACTTTATAAACAGAGATGCTAGCCATTCAAAAGGCTCTGGAACATGCTGTTGTTGAACACCGACAACATGTTATCATACATATAGATTTGAGAACTGCCATTGAAACCTTGCAACAAGAACACGTATGTGATAACATCCATCTGATCACAAATGTCACATCATTAATGCAAACACTCAAACGACAAGGCCGATGGGTACTTAACTGGGTGCCAAGTCATGTGGAAATAATAGGAAATGACATTGCAGACGAAGTTGCAAAACTTGCAACTAAGAGAAGAAATGTAGACATTTACATACCACAGAGTCTATCACAGATTAAGAAAGTAATTAGAAACAGAGCAATGCAAAAGATGTACAGTGACCACAACACAGCAGTTGCAACATCAGGATCTGGTACAAGAATTCAACCAACTACGAACCCCTTAGTTTGATGAAGGGGAGCAGTAGAGCAACAGAAGTACACTTAAATCGCATCAGGCTTGGATACCCATGTGCATGGGAAATAGGCTTACAGGTTCGTGATGATGAGAGGAAATGTCAGCACTGTGGAGAAATGCCCGACAGACCACTGGAACATTATCTAACACAGTGCACAGTTACAAACCCATTAAGATTTCAACTTAGATTGAACAGAGCCGTTGTTAACCACATATGGCAAAATCTTACTGAAGCGACCATACGAGTCATAAATACTCATACTCCGCCCAAGTAAAACAGAAACAAGCAACACTTAGTGGGCCAGCCAGAGGCTTAGGGCCTGCGCAGAAATATCCCTGCAAAAAAGAAAAAAGAAAAAAAAGAGCGCCAAGACAGTTCCGGTGACAGTGCTGGAACCAATCGCATTGCCGTTTTCCTTTCCATTGGAATCTTTTGGCGCCATGGAGAGGGGTGACCTGCTGCATGGGTAACAGCTTCTCCTCCGTATCAACCTACCCTGGCTTTGCACCCTGGAGAGGCCACTCCAAACCGACAATCAGAGCACAACTCCATAGTCTCCTTAGACTGATGGATGCCAAGTATTACTAATGGACAAGTTGCTGTTGTGTGATAATCTATAATTGACATGTCACTGTTGTGTGATAATCTATAATGGACTTGTCACTGTTGTGTGATAATCTATAATGGACATGTCACTGTTGTGTGATAATCTATAATGGACATGTCGCTGTTGAGGGCAGCAACAGAACTAAGTCAGGTGTATCCTGCCACTCCAAATATGGAGAAGACAATGAGTGTATATCCTGTAGTGAAGATATGTGGCAATCAGCAGGGGATTAACCCTTAAAGTGCGCATCACGTTATATGATCTTCTTGAGGTTATCTTGAGATGATTTCGGGGCTTTTTAGTGTCCCCGCGGCCCGGTCCTCAACCAGGCCTCCACCCCCAGGAAGCAGCCCATGACAGCTGACTAACTCCCAGGTACCTATTT